TTGGAGGTTGCTGTGAGCTGTAATGCCATGGCACTCTACCCAGGGGGACAGCTTGAGGCTCTGTCTCAAAAAAAAAAAAAAAAAAAAAACTGAACTAATAAACAGATTACTAGAAGAAAAGGCACACAGATTTGTTGGATATGTACAGCATGAGGGAATTGCAGAATGATTACCTAGTAACCCAATGGAATAGAGATCCTTATATACCCTTCTTCATAAGAGAAGGCGAGTGGGAATGAATGAGCCCAAGGAACAGTGGCCTGAGACAGAGTTCCTCTGAACTCCGGGGCTGGTGAGGGACAGTGAGAGCAGGATTCCAGGTGTTCTCTCTAAGCTGCCCTCAGAGGGTAGAAGGGAAGTCTGTGCACCATAGTGATGCCTGTCTCTCCCCGGGTCGTCAGTCTTTTTCCTGGTTATTTGAAATTCCTAGGGAGGGATCTTACCCCTATCGCATTTTTTAACCAAGTTTTCTTAGATACAGAAATTGCACCATTCCTCCTGGCATCTCAGTGCTTTAGGAAAGGAAAAGGGAGTCAGGGGTCAAGGAGGTTTGGGAGACCTTCAGGCTGCGTCTTTATTGCAGCCTGTCAATATGCTGTGTTCTGGGCCCTAACAGCAGCCTGTCTAAAATGCACATTTCTTATTTTAATTTCTAAAGTGGCAATTAGAAAATAACAATTTAGGGCTGCACCCTGAGCTCATTTAGCCAGGCGTAGTAGCAGGCATCTGTAGTCCCAGCTTCTCAGAAAGCTGAAGCAAGAGGATCACTTGAGCCCAAGAGTTTGAGGTTTCTGTGAGCGAGGCTGATGTGACAGCATGATAGCCTGGGCAACAGAGTAAGGCTCTGTCTCAAAAAAATGTTTTTTATAAAGAAGGAAAATAAAGCTAAAAGCTTTAAGAAGCTCAAGAGTGTAACTTCATGGCTAGGTCCGTTCTCAGTATCTGTCCCTAAATACAAAATGCTAGTGTGGTGTCCTCAGTGGACTCAGCATCTGTGTCCATGTAACACTGTGTAACATGTGCCTGCCTACTGCCCCGGGTGAGGACCTCGAGACCGTCCACATTAGTGGGGAGATGAAATCTAACAGGGTGACTAATAACATGTGCTCTACTCCAGGGGAGGGGAGGGGCGCCGGGACAAGTCTAGGATGGGAATGGGAGGTAGGTAGAAAGCCATGCTGTTTAAGGGACACAAAACCGATCTACCCTTCTTGGAAATGTATTTTTGAGTGACACACTTTGAGGAATAACAAGGTAGGGCCTGTCCAAAGGGAGGATCTGGGGAAGTGAGGAGTTTGGAGACCTCACCGGAGTGAGAAATGTGACCAAGGAAGACTGCTGAGGAGGTGAGGCAGCTTCCTCCCGCACTCCTCGGGGAGAGGGGTTCAGCTGGTCTGTGAGGGCAGCTGAGACCAGTGAGGGGGAGTTGTAGAGAAGACTCCTGCGTGTTATCTGGAGGCTGTTTCACAGAGGTCAGCCTACCTTCAAAAGGAATGGACTGCCTTAGGAAGCGGAGTCCTGGTCACTGAATGTGTCAGCCAAATGGTTGATTAGAACCTTCATATCTTAAACTGTCAAGTGCTTCTTCAAACAAAGGCACAATTAAGCTCTTCAAGAAGAGGCATCATGTAAAATTTAGAACAGGTTTTATCTGAGCTGCTCGAGGACTCCGTCTTTATATCCCTGATATGAACACACAATAAATGGGGAGAGGAGGAATAGTATATGTGAGAAATGAAATTATAGGTTCACTGGGTGAAAATGATTTTCAAGGCAGAGTTTAAAGACAGTCTTACCTTATTGTTTTCTTTAAAACCATATAGTCAGAAAAATATTTAAATTCAAAAGTTTAAATTTTATTTTTCACTACTATAAAAAAAGGTATTAAGTTAGCTGGCCATGAAGGCATGTGCCTGTCCCAGCTGCTCAGGAGGCTGAGGAAAGAGTGTCGTTTGGGACCAGAAGTTGGGAGTCTGGTGTGGGCAACATAGCAAGACCCTAAAAAATTGGCCAGGCATGGTAGTGCACACCTGTAGTGCTGGCTGCTCGGGAGGCTGAGGCAGGAAGATTATTTGAGCCCAGAAGTTTAAGGCTGCAGTGAGCTGTGACTGGACCTGTGCACTCTAGCATGAGCAACAGAGTATGATTCTGTCTCAAAAAGTGTAAATATTGTGACCAGGAATAGTGGTTCATGCCTCTACGGAGCAACTTGGGAAACTAAGGTGGGAGGATCGTTTGAGACCAGGAATTCGAGACCAGCCTGGGCAACATATTAAGGCCCTGTCTCTACAAAAAATAAAATATCAGCCGGACACGGGGGCAAGTGCTTGTAGTCCCAGCTACTGGGCAGCGTGAGCAAGAGGATCTCTTGGGGTGTGGTCACACCACTGCTCTCCAGCCTGGGTCTCAGAGTGAGCTTCTGTTTCTAAAGAGAAAACAATAATAATGATAAAATACATATTTTTGTGTAACCTTCTCTCCTTTGCCGGTGCTCTGTATAGGTCCTGGGATCCATGTAATAGAATGGCCGATGCACACATAAAGGAGTACACACTAAAATTCGGTGACTGTGTTCAGTCATGCTGGGTGGTGGCGTTGGAACCTGGCCTGCGTCTTCCTGTTCCTTCCCTCCTGCCCTCCCAGCAAACCACTTGCTGCCTCTGCCCATGCGTTTCCCAGTCTGTAGAAGCATGACAGCCGTCCCGGGCAGTGGTTGGTTCCGTCCAACCGCTGTTTAGGCTTTGTGTACATTATTCAGAAGTTCGCTAGTAACCACAGCTAAGTTAGTAAATTTCCACATGAATGTTTGAATTCTGCACTCTGACACTTCTTCATGGGCTCTGTTCATATTTACTGGGCTGATGTTGCTAATCAAGGCAGAGGCCTCAACTGAGCATTTATTACTAGTCTACAAAAGGAAAGATTAAACTAGCTCACTGAATAGCTAAACCTTCCTTCCAAAAAGGAGCATTTGCCTTTATCTATACCAGTTTACCAAATTGCTCCTCCCAAAGGCAATTTGAAATTAATATGTTTTGAAAATGTTTCCTACGTAATATTAATACAAATCTTAAACTTTGTCTTTTAGACTACAGAGCGAGTGGTCAGAAAATACTTGTACCAAGAGTGAGTGATTTAGCTATTTAGTAAATTACTAAGTTAAGAGAAACAAACCCCAAAATGTAGCATTTGGAAAACGTGTATGGAACATTTCAATGTGAATTTTTATTTTTCCTTTGGCAATGAATGACAGCCTGAGCTTAGCTATACCAGGGCTAGAAGGTTTGGTTTCCTCTTCGTAGGTTAGGTTAGCTCAGTCCTAAGGGCTTTGCCCTTGTTAACATTTGGTACACACAGCGTGCTCACCTTTCCGAGCAGAGTGGTGTGTGTTGACCATAGTGTACACATTTCTACCCCCACATAAACACTCCCAAGGATGAGCATACAAGTGCAGGCGTGTAAACAAAAACCAGTCGTACTTGTCAATTAGAATTCAGTTCATTACACCCAGGATTGCCTTCCTCTCATGGGTGAGGTTCCTGATACTGTCTTTGTCTTTGTTTGGGGAAATTACCACAGGTTTGGAGTGAGCCGCAGGTCCCCAGCCTCCCTCGACAGGCAGAGCACCCAGGCGGACATCAGTGGCAGTGGAAAGTCCACACCAAGCTGGCAAAGAAGTGAGGACAGCATTGCCGACCAGATGGGTAAGTAAGTAATTTCTACAAAAACAAACTGCTTTTACAACAAAGTGCCTTCGGCCACCTCTTAGTGATGTTATCAGAGCATTCTGAGAACAGCCCTAGTTAAGCACTGTGACTTAAGTCTCTGTTAGATCATAGATAAGGGAAAGCAAGAGAAAAGCCTGAGAAAAGTCCAGGAATTCTCAGTGACCCCAAGTTTAAAAATCAAAAGGACATGGGAATTATTTTCAGCACCAAGATTAAGAACACCTTCCCCCTTCCCTCGTTTACTTGTTTTTAACCTGGTATAAGTGGCTTGAGAAAGTCCTTGTTATTCTTCATGTTGAATTAAAAATAACATCTACATACAGAGTAGGAGAGAGAGAGAATTGTGGCTCAGTCACATCTCTAGCGTGGTTAGAATTTCTGTCCTCCCTGGTGTGCTTTTTTAAAAATTCTTTTCACTCTGCTATTAAGCTGTCAGCCAAGGAAGTGTCTTAGCTGTATAAAACAGCAGGATGAGAAAGATTTGCATTAGGGAGCTCTCATTTGGATTTCTGGAGCATGACCCTCTCTCTGTACATATGCTGTTGTTCCGTGACACCCTAACACCAGTTGATTACAGTAAAATTTTGTCATAAAACAAGATTAAGTTTTAGCACAGTAGCATCAGGGATTAGGAATCAATACAGTCGATGCACCAAGGATTCAAACCTAGACTGTTAGGGTATTTTCCTCCTTTATTTTATCTTTAATAAATAGCATTACCCTCCGTGTGGGCTGAAAAGGATGAACTTTTAAGGCAAAGACCCATCTTTTCATCCTCTCTGCAAATCCACTGTTTTGTCCTGTTTAAATGACTGTGCCCAAGTAAATGAACTAGCCATGAACACAGAAGGGAATGGAGACGCATTGAGCTAAGAGTTGAGGGAGACAAATGCAGTTCTCAGGTTCTGAAGATTCGCTTTGCTCCAGTAACCACGGCGAGAAGGGCCTTGTTATTGAAGCCATCTGTCATTCCCCGCTCCTGTGCCACCACCCCCAACACAGAAAACCTGAGCAGATTCTGATCTGCTTTTTTGCTCCTGACAGAATGTTTCTAATCCCGTATGTGTTGGTACCGTTGAGATGGTAACGACACATGTGAAAAGGATCCCTTCTTCAGCAGGACTTAGTGACTTTTTTTGGCCTGTACCACAGGCTTTGAGGAAGGCTGCAGCAAGCCCTCTGTACAGCACACTGCTTCCCACTCCTGGACCCATATTCATCCTCTCCCACAAACCTGCTCCAGGCCTTTTTTTTTTTTCTTGCATCCTATTTAGCGTAGTGGGTCCCACTCTTAATAGGTAAGACTTCACAGTGAATATGGATGAATCTTATTAACACACACACTCATCCTCTTAGTAAGGTAATCCTTTTTTTTTTTTTTAATTACCCCTAGTGCCTGCTAGAGAAAAGCATTTTTTACATAGTATGGGAAATCCAAGTGGTGGCTTTATCCAAGGCTTCAGATAAAATCATGAAATAATTTCTTTTTTATCACTTTTGATATCCCAGCCTTGCAAGAGAATAACCCAGCCTTTCTTAACTGGCACATCAGATGGAATCAGAAGGCTTAGTTGGCATAAGCCATTCTAGGGAGAATTCAAGAAAAGTATTTTCTGTGTTTTCATTACTTGATACCCACGCGTGAGCATATAAAGGACTGGCCTTTCTACACTCAGTTTACAGGAACAACACACTCGGATTAAGAATGGTTAAGAGATCCTCATTGGTTAGGCAGGCCCACCTGTCTTTGTGCATCAGCATGTTGCCAGCTGGTACCCTGCTGATGGTAGAGACAGGACTTCAACTTGCCCAGCTGGCTCACTTACCTCCCTGGGCCTTTCTGCCTCTCTGCTTTTGGAAATGGTTGAGAGTCAGAGTCAAAGAATATGTTGTCCAGTTCTACACATTAGGAAGTGCAGAATTCCTGCTGTTAGCCATGCTTGGGTTAAAGAGGATCCTTTATCTCTCGTTTTGGAACCCCATCTTGAACGCCGGCTTGGAGTTCAAAAGGAAGCAATTGTTTTAGTAAACTAGTTGCTGTGTGTCTTTTCTGTTGTGCTCAGCTTACAGTTATAGAGGACCTCAGGATTTCAATTCTTTTGTCCTCGAGCAGCATGAATATACAGGTAAAATATTTCCAAAGTGTCATGGTAAGTAACACGTGACTGCATCCGTGCCTGTCTAGGTAATGTAGACCGAGCCAGGTTAGCCACACTTTGCAATGAATGAACTTCATAAACTTAACCCATATGACCTTAACTTTTCCCCCAAACCAAAAGTTGATTCTGAACTTTGCTGTATTGTTCATGGCCTTTGGTTTGGTGGTACTTGGCTATGCTACTGTGTATGACATGACACGTTGTCACCAGCTGCAAGCTTTATCCATCAGCCACCTAGTTTCTGACCTGCTGTCTATCGTGTAGACTCTTACTTACCAAGCTTACTGCTGAAATGCAGAGTTTGCTGGTCAGTGAATTGAAAGATGCAATGCCAAGCCATCTTCATTTGTCACCGTGTGCTTGTACCGGTTTAGCGCCTGCACCATAATGTCCTCTGCTGTATTCCAGAGCCGACATGCCATCTCCCAGCAGTATCAAAGGTACTGCCAGCTTTCCGAGAGAGCCCCAGTGGGAGGTTAATGCGGCAGGATCCAGTGGTTCATTTGTCTCCAAACAAACAAGGGCATGTAAGTTAACTTATAAAAATACTAGATTTCCTAGCAATGAACCTTCCTTGCAGTATGAAAATCTTCTCTCCTCTCCTCTGCATGGTCAAAGAGGAAGCCATCCTGGCAGTGTTGGCGTTTGCTGCTGTGGCCTTGTAATTTCTCCTACCATGGCCCTGAGGTTGCTTTGAGATAAATTGTAATTCCTCTTTGATATGCCCCTGCCATCCCCATAGATCTGGCTGTAAGATCATTTAATTCAGTCACTAACAATCCTAAAATGTTAGGAACAGAAATGTGCTAAAAATCAATTTATATTTGCTTATATAATTGCAACCATGAGATATGGCTGGAGAACAAGTTCAGCTTGTTCAGAACAAGACAGCTTCCTATATACCTCCCACTGCTCTTTGTCTCTTGCTTAGCGACACACATTTTACCCTTTTATCATAATAATAAACAGTTCACGGTCACTTACAGGTACAAAGAGGAACACCAGGTTATCATTTGCCATCCCCCTTTTACAATGCAGTTGATTTCCTGGCCTGTCTGTTCACCAGCTTGTGTATCCCTGAAATTCTTTTGGGTGAAGAAATACTGTATTTCATGTTCACTAACTTATAAGATGCTCACAGAACTTTTAATGAGAAGACTCATGGAAGTTTTGCCTTAGAGAAATGAATACTAAAGTTAAAAAAAATGAGAGTGAGCATATCCTACACTTGGTGGAGAGATTTACTAAGGAAATGTGATACTGTCACAGTTGAACTTGTAAATAATAGATTATACCAGTAGGCCTGTGAATTTCCTCTCCTTCATGAATATAATTTTTATATTGATCACATGGTAAAATAATACTTTGGACATCAGGTTAAAGAAAAATTAATTTCACTAGTTTTCTTGTTTGTTTGTTTTTGATACAAGATTCTCACTTTGTCACCTTTGGTAGAGTGACGTGGCATCATAGCTCCAGCAACCTCAGACTCTTGGGCTCACGTGATTCTCTTGCCTCATTTTTTCATTTTTAGTAGAGACCAGGGTCTCACTCTTGCTCAGGGTGGTCTCAAACTTGGGAGCTCAAGCAATCCACCTGCCTCGGCCTCCCAGAGTGCTAAGATTACAGATGTGAGCCACCGCACCTAGCCCTGGGTATTTTTTTTAACTTCTTAAAATTTAACTACCAGAAAACTTGAAATTATATGTATATATGGTATATATTGTGTTTGTATAGAAATCTGTTACCTACTCTATATTCTAAATAATCTCAATTCAAACCAGCCATATTAAAAGAACTGAATAGCTACACATGGCTAAGGGCTCCTGGATTCTACAGTACGGACCGAGAGCTAAAGAAGGTCTGCCCTATCAAAACCAAATGGAAGCTTAATAACACCACTTTATACATTGTTATTGAGTAAAAGTAGAGCAGTGTTTTTCAACCTTTTTTTATCTCACAGCACACTTAAAACTATAGGGTGGCTCACACGTGTAATCCTAACATGCTGGGAGGCCTAGGCGGGTGGATTACTTGAGCTCAGCTGGGGCAAGACTGAGACCCATCTTTACTAAAAATAGAAAAAACTAGTGGGGCATGGTGGCTCACCCCTGTAGTCCCAGCTACTCGGGAGGCTAAGGCAAGAGGATTGCTTGAGGTTGCCGTGAGGTCATAGCTAAGGCCACACTCTACCTAAGGGACCAAGTGAGACTCTGTCTCAAAAAAAAAAAAATTTTTTTTTTTTTTTTTTTTGTGGCACACTTAAGATTCTTTCATGGACACCAGTTGAAAATCACTGCTTTAGAGGATGCAGGAAATTCTCTTAACTCCTACAATGGTTTCTATGTTACCTGTGATCCACTGATTATATGTAACCTCTATAAAGTAACTGGGGTTGATTTTTTTTTCCCCCCTAAGGGAGATGAAACTGGCATGTCTCCACCCAGCTCCTACCTCTGGCCAGTGAAGAGCAGCCCCGTTCCCTCATGGAAACACACACACATACACACACACACTCACACACTCAAAATCCCTTCTCTTTTTTTTCTTATTCTCCAGCAAGTATCTAGACTTCCTGACTCCCTCTCATTTAAAATATTACTTTCCTCAGATATCTTTTAAAACCTTAGAACTTCCGTAACCTCTATAAAATGTTCTTTTTTTTTTTTAACTCCCTCCAGAATGCTTGGCTGTATAAAATGTATAAAATGTTCTTTCTAAACACCTAAGCTACTGTGTAGAAAGAGTTCTGTATACGTTTTTAAATTGAGACATTATTCACAACCCGTAATATTCACCCATTTAAAGTGTACAGTTTAGTGGGGTTTTGCATATTCACTGAGCTGTACAACCAGCACCACAATCTTATTCTAAAACTTCTCCATACCACCCCTATTTCCTATCCAATGGACTTTGTTCTCTCTGTATTTGTCTTTTCTGGAGATTTCATAGGAAGGAAGTCACACAGCATGGCCTTCTCCGGCTTCTCTCACTGATCATGTTTTTAAGAGTCATCTGTGTTGCAGCATAAATCAGCACTTCATTCTTTTTCACAGCTAAATGATGGTCCATTGTGTAGACATACCCTAGTCTTTTTTTTTAGAGATAGAGTCTCACTTTATCACCCTCAGTAGAGTGCTATGGCATCACATCTCAAAGCAACCTCTAACCCTTAAGCTTAGGCAATTCTCTTGCCTCAGCCTCCTGAATAGCGGTGACTACAGACGCCGCCACAACACCCAGCTATTTTTTGTTGCAGTTTGGCCATGGTCAGGTTTGAACCCGCCACCCTCAGTATATGGGGCCGGTGCCCTACTCACTGAGCCACAGGTGCCACCCTATACCCTAGTCTTTTAGTCCATTTATTAGTTGATGAACATTAGGGTTATTTCCACTTTTCAGCTATTATGAAGAATACTACTATAAATATTCACGTATAGGTTTTTGTGTGAATGTGTGAATACATGTGTTCATTTCTCTTGGGAATATACCAGGAGTTGTATAGCAGTGTTTTCTTGCAGTGGCCACCACCGTGTCCTTATTCTCCACCTTTTTGATTGTAACCGTCCTAGTGTGTGTAGTGCTGTTTCATGGTTTTGATTTTATGGTTTTGATTTGCATTTCCCAAATGGCTAAGGATGCTGAACATCTTTTCATGTGTTTGTTGGAAATGTATATGTCCTCTTTGGAGAATTTCAAATGTTTGTCCCTTTGTTTAATTGGATTATTTGAAACACACAAGATTTTGTTTTGTTGGTTTTATTTTTGTTTTTTTTTTTTTTTGGGAGACAGAGTCTCACTATATTACCATCAGTAGAGTGCCATGACATCACAGCTTACAGCAACCTCAAACTCTTGGGCTCAAGCAGTTCTCTTGCCTCAGCCTCCCCAGTAGCTGGGACACAACACCCGACTATTTTTAGAGATGAGGTCTTGCTCCTGCTCAGGCTGGTCTCAAACCTGTGAGCTCAGGCAATCCACCTACCTCAGCCTACCATGCACGGCTGAAATGCACAAGTTTTAAATTTTTATGAAGACCAGTTTATTTTTGCTTTTGTTCCTTATGTTTTTAGTGTCATATTTAAGAAGCGTTGTATGACTTCAGTAAACTTAAGTCGTTACTTACACCTGTTTTCTCCAAGAGTCCTGTGGCTTCAGCCCTTCTGTTTAGGTCTTTGACCCTTTCTGATTCCTTTTCCTAGGAAAAGGAATCCAGCCCTTCCTGGATCCTGGTAAGGATCCAGCTTCATTCCTTTTGCATGTGAATATTCAGTTGTCTCAGCACCATTTATTAGTCAGACTTGATTTTTTTCCCATTGAATTACCTTGGCACTTGTGTACAAATTTTACCTCTAAGAAGGCCGACTCCTAAGTAAATGTTACTTGAGGAAGCAAAACAAGATCTCTAGGAGTCTCTCTTAAAGGCATTCAGCCTTTATAGTTACCCTAGGCAAGTAAGCCTTTTAGAATCGAGCATGCTTTCTATTTATAAGATCTTTGGAAATGTCATTTCCTTTCTGTTTTACAGTGTTAAACACTTTAATGACAATCTAGATTTTTTTTCCTGATTAAAATGATCTAGATACTGTTGACACGTTGGCCTAAGTCAAATAATGAAAAATGGATTTGAAAAAAAAAAAAAAATGCCAGCACCCTGTGCTGTAGGCAGTTCTGCATGGGCCAGAGTCACAGAGGCTTCAGGTACTCCCTGCCTTACTTTGAATTGTCACTGTTGGAACTTCAGTGCCTTGACCCTGTAACTAGACCCAAGTCAGTGTCATTGCTGGTGTTCGGGAAGCAGGACCTGCCCTTGAGTAAATCCTGCCTCCCTTACAGTCTGACAGCCACTACTCGAGCCACTCCAGCAGCAATACCCTCTCCAGCAACGCCTCGAGCGCCCACAGTGACGAGAAGTGGTACGATGGGGACCGCACGGAATCCGAGCTCAACAGCTACAACTATCTGCAGGGCACCTCCGCTGACAGTGGCATCGACACCACCTCCTACGGCCCCAGCCACGGCAGCACGGCCTCCCTGGGGGCCGCCACGTCGTCACCCCGCTCAGGCCCAGGCAAGGAGAAGGTGGCCCCCCTGTGGCACAGCTCCAGTGAGGTGATCTCCATGGCAGATCGGACTCTGGACGCAGAGAGCCACGGCATGGACCGGAAAGCAGAGTCCTCCCTGAGCTTGGATATCCACAGCAAGAGCCCGGCTGGCTCGAACCCTCTGACGAGGGAGAACAGCACGTTCAGTATAAACGATGCTGCTTCTCACACCAGGTAACTGCCCTCCTGTGCACCGTCCCGCCGCCCAGCCCAGCCCCGCGTCCTGCTTCCTGGTCTCATCCCACTTGACTGTGCTACTGCCGTAGAAGGAAAGGAGGTTTTCATGCAGTGACAATTATACAGACCCCCAAAATATACACACATTTTTTTTTTTTTTTTTTTGAGACAGAGCCTCAAGCTGTCCCCCTGGGTAGAGTGCCATGGCATTACAGCTCACAGCAACCTCCAACTCCTGGGCTCAAGCGAGTCTCCTGCCTCCGCCTCCCAAGTAGCTAGGACCACAGGCGCCCGCCACAACACCCGGCTATTTTTTGGTTGCAGACATCATTGTTTGGCGGTCCGGGCTGGGGATTCGAACCCGCCACCTTAGGTGTACGTGGCTGGCGCCCTAGCCGGTTGAGCTATAGGCGCCGAGCCCACACATTTTAAGAGATACTGCCCACGTATTACTTTTCAAAGTTGAAGGTCCCGTTACTGGCCAAGGACACGCTGTGCACATCCATGTCACCGTGATTCCTACCCTATTAGGGAATGATGGATTTTACTTCCAATAGCATCGCTTAAAATGTGTATACATTTTTTCGGTACCTTCAGTATTTCTGTGTTGAATACCTTTTATTTACCAACCAAATATTTTAGACCTACAATTCTTATTTTACACAGTGAAAAAAAATTGCAGATTTCTTTTTTTTGTAAACTTGTATTTGACCTTTTTTAAATTTCCTGTGTACCACAGCTGAGCAAATTTGGTAATTTTATCTTTCAGCTAGTGATAAGCATGTATACTAGGAGAACCTTTTTGAAGATACTAAAAAGATCTTGAGGATATTTTTAAAAGAGAAGGGTCTTTCCCAAGATGAACCACATTCTTTACAATACTGAGCGCATCCTCACACTGCCTCTCTGAGAACATCACTTCCCCCGATGTTTGCATGGTAATTTTTTTTCAGTAATTGGCTTCTGTCAGTGATGGGTTGAAGGTGGAGTGTCCCATAGAAAAGCGTGTCTAAAATTAACTACAGCCCATCTACCTTTCAGGATAGGAAAGTACACATTCCCCTGTATGCTTAGAGATCGCTCCAGCAAACAAAACAAATAGTATTTTTCATTGCCTCTTTTGGATTTGAGCATGAACCCCAAGGATGAAAAGATTTGTTTTGGTTTTTTTTTTTGCAGTTTCTGGCCAGGGCCAGGTTTGAACCCGCCACCTCTGGTGTACAGGGCCGGCTCCCTACTCCTTTGAGTCCCAGACGCCACCCTGAAAAGGTTTCTTACAGGGAGGAAACCGGTGGCTGTCTTTTAGGCCTGTTAATCTTTGTGGTTTCTCCTTTTCCTTCTCATCATTGTCAGTCGCAGATCAACTTGTGTGATAGCATCTCACCTTGCTGACTTCTGGGGCTGTGTTACTCTCATGCCCAAAGGAAAAATACTAGAGGCTTAATTTGGGTTTACGTCTCAAATAGGAACCCGAGCGCCATAATCTGGCAGCAGAGGGCATCTCGCATTTAGTGTGGTTTCATGTCATCAGTGAAATACTCAGTTTTCTTTTAGCATCTGTATTCTTGCTGATAAGATTATTGAGCTTCCCTTCTTTTAAAACTTGAGGCTCTGGGGTATGAAACATTTCACAGTTTTGTTTCTGTTTACCACTACCACATCGCAGATGTGTTGTGATAGACCTGGAAACTGCATGGCCCCCGAGCAAAACTGAAATTGGGGAAATACTATCAGGATTCTTGAGTACCACACATCCTGTTACTGTTCCACAGTTCAGAAATAGAACGTTCGGTGAAAGAGATGATGTGTTTGGAAAATTAGGACCGAAAGCTGGGCATCGTATGTCATAATAGTACAGAATTAGATGACACAGAATTGTGACACTTGCTTACTCCTTTGGGTACATCCCCTTCTCAGTACCTATCGACTGTGCATGGACTGTTAGATTGGACTGTGCATGGACTCAGAGTGGTTTCTCTGTGGTTTCTAGATTTCGTTTGACTCCTGTTTCTTTGGTTTTCAATTCTTCATTTTGAAAGGAGAACTCCTTTTTTTAAGAGTGGCATCTCATCTAAAGCCGTATCTCTGGTCTAATTTGATGGCAGAAGAAAGTAGGTTATTGAGGTCTTGTCGCAAATGAGTAAGGTTGGAAAGGGCTGGGCCCCTAAAGCCAAAGCCCAGGACCTGTGGCTGTGCCATCATCTGACAAATCCCCAGGGATTTACAAAGCTCCCCCAAAAGGTAAGCACCTGGGTTTGCATTATCTGAATGTGCTGACTGGAACTGTCTGAAGGCCTCAAAGGATTATCTCAATTTTCTGCTTCAAACTGGCTGTGCAGAATCATTGAAGTCATTGTTTAGAAATAACTCTCCTATTGAAAGTCAAACTTAACAGAGGAGAGAAGAATGTAGCCTTTCAGGGAAGGTGGCAGGGCTTCCCACCCACTGATAGGATGAGTCACATTTGCTTCCAGACTCTGGTAAATGAAGATGCTTTGGGACCTCAGTCTGTTGATCTTGGCAGACTGAGTCGGATAATCAAAGCCTCAGCGGCCTGCCTTTTCTGGAGGAAAGGGGGATTTAGCCACCAAATACACATTGCTGGAGAAACTAAAATCACAGCAAATTAGAGTGTTTGTGTCCTCAGAAGACAGGAACAGCAATTAATGTGGAGATCTCTTGACAGCGCATAAAAGAGCTTGTACCTGGGACTTGGTGACAGAATCTAAATTACAGTGATTAAGTTTCACTGCGTCTTTTTGGCTGGGCTCTGTTCCTACCCCCTCTGTCCTCCAGTCCCCTGTCAGTGTCTGTGCAGGGTTTTGTGGCCCTCCCATCTGAACTGCATTAATGTAGGTCGGTAATTACATAGGTTGTTGTATTTGAATGTCATTAAGAGGACCCATACACAGTGATAAGTTTCTACTATTAAAAAAGGTCTGTTAATTGTTCTCGTGTTGCTCCCTGGAGAGAGAGAGAAGCCTAGAAGTGTAGGGAGAAGTTTAAACAGTCTTTTTTTATAATAGCTATTTCACTTTCAGATCTTAACGTGAACCACTCAAAGAAAATGATTGAGGGTGAGCATAATAGAGGTGAAGATAGTTCTAATTTTAATACATTCTAACCAGCTGGATTCATTTTTTCGTAGCATTCTGGCCTTGGCAGTAGGGAGTGCCAGTTGGTGTGGCAAATAAGGACCTCCTCAGTCAGTACAAAGTGCTCTGTCCTGCTGACGGCGGGTGCTTCTGAGGCTGGAATCCAACTTAAGACCACACGTGATAAAGCTAAAAGCCGCACCTCGTCCCTGCACGAGCTCTTCCAGAACACGCTGACCTGACTCACTTTGGTGTCCAGGCTTCCTGCCCACTCTCGTCTGCCCCCTGTTCTGCTAGTCTCAAACTTGCTTCCTTCAGGCCCTCGCAGTGCTCTGGGGCCATGTGATTATTTTAGACCTTTACTGCCACCCAGCACCAGCGACTTTCTCACCCAGTATGCTCCTCCTGAGCACCTTTGCCGAGCGCGTGCCACCACGAACGTTATAGATGGGTGCTCAGCACGTTCTGATGAGCAGATAGGTAGAAATTCTGCTTTACCCTTCCTGCTTGTTTCACCTGATGACTCAAGGCTGCTAGTAACAAAACAGTTCACGTCACGTAAGTCCTCAACTCCTGACTCTTGTAGAAAACCACCACTGCATTTCAAAGGTCACTGTACAGACACATCCCTATTTGTACAGAGCTGTGATGCTTCTGTGTGTAGGTGTGGATATAAGAGTGTACATGAAGTCCTGGTACAGCATGAATTTTTAGTAAAGTCATTTCTATATAAAAGTCTTTAAAATCTGCAAAGTGTGACAAGGAAGAACTTTCCAACAGCTTATCTGCAAATATCAGCCAGGATGTGGATATATGTTAGCCAGTGTCTTGACATTCACTAGAGCTGCTGATTAAAGACCAGGAAAAATGCCTGCCCACCACTGTCGGTACAGCTCAATTGAATGAATATACTTTTCCTGGTTCACCTAATAAATTAACCGGCCGGGCCAGAAAAGCTGTATGTTTCTACAGAGCAGAGGAAGAGAAGGGCTTTCGTAGGTCTAGTTTCCTGGGCCATCTGTATGCATCTCAGAGCTGGTGGGTTTAAATCATGTTCCCTGTGCCCTCTTTGCCATCCTGTATATGTGAAAGAGACGCCTGCCTTCTTGGTTTGGAAATTATTCGGTTATCTGTAATGTTTTCCTCTCTAAATCCTTTAGGCCTGGAAATTTTGTTGTTACTACCAGTTGGCTCTCTTCTAAATATTTTTTTCTTAAGGTGAGAATATTATTTTTCTAAGTATTACAGAATAATCCAGAATCTGAAAGTTCAACTTCTAAAAAACTAGAATTTCTCTTAAAAGATGTGATTCGGCTCCATTTGCCTTAATTTTGTTGTTGGGTGTGGACCATTATAATTGGTGACTTTTGTCTTGTGGCCCTGCACTTAAGGAACATTCAGGATTGTGTTAAATTTTGCTTTTATATGATAGAACTCCAGGTAATCTGGTCTCAGCTCTCTTGCTGCATCTCTTCCAGTTGATGGGGGTGGGTAGTTAGTTTTAGTAACCTCAGAGACTAAAAATAGAACCACACTGTAGTTGAAATTTCAAGTGAACATTAAGAAAATGCATCCTCTGTTAAACCGTGAACATTTGATGCAGAATTCGCCAAGGAAGTGTTTGTCATTAGTTCATCCTGTGAGGCAACTAATCCACCCATCCAAGTGACATGATAAGCCCAGATTCTCCAAATCCCGTTGTTACCAGAATTTCGCTCTTTAGTAGGTCCTTGGTCTCAGAGATTCAAGGAATGAATCCACAGACCACAGATCAGCAGCAAGACAGGACTTTATTAGAAAGGAATACAGAAGAAGTAAAAGGCACCAGAGCTTCTGGCGGGGGAAAGAACTAACTGAGGAGTCTCTGTGTGGGCTCTTTATCTAGGGGTGTTAGGTCTTGAG